AAGAAAGTGGATCAGTCCAGTTCTGAAGTCTTTACACTGGTTCCTCACTAACACTAAGAAAGTGGATCAGTCCAGTTCTGAAGTCTTTACACTGGTTCCTCACTGACACTAAGAAAGTGGATCAGTCCAGTTCTGAAGTCTTTACACTGGTTCCTCACTGACACTAAGAAAGTGGATCAGTCCTGTTCTGAAGTCTTTACACTGGTTCCTCACTGACACTAAGAAAGTGGATCAGTCCTGTTCTGAAGTCTTTACACTGGTTCCTCACTAACACTAAGAAAGTGGATCAGTCATGTTCTGAAGTCTTTACACTGGTTCCTCACTGACACTAAGAAGTGGATCAGTCCAGTTCTGAAGTCTTACACTGGTTCCTCACTGACACTAGAAAGTGGATCAGTCCGTTCTGAAGTCTTTACACTGGTTCCTCACTGACACTAAGAAAGTGGATCAGTCCATGTTCTGAAGTCTTTACACTGGTTCCTCACTAACACTAAGAAAGTGGATCAGTCCAGTTCTGAAGTCTTTACACTGGTTCCTCACTAACACTAAGAAAGTGGATCAGTCCAGTTCTGAAGTCTTTACACTGGTTCCTCACTAACACTAAGAAAGTGGATCAGGTCCAGTTCTGAAGTCTTTACACTGGTTCCTCACTACACTAAGAAAGTGGATCAGTCCAGTTCTGAATCAGTCCAGTTCTGAGGTCTTTTACACTGGTTCCTCACTGACACTAAGAAAGTGGATCAGTCCAGTTCTGAAGTCCCTTACACTGGGTTCCTCACTAACACTAAGAAAGTGGATCAGTCCAGTTCTGAAGTCTTTACACTGGTTCCTCACTAACACTAAGAAAGTGGATCAGTCCTGTTCTGAAGTCTTTACACTGGTTCCTCACTGACACTAAGAAAGTGGATCAGTCCTGTTCTGAGTCTTTACACTGGTTCCTCACTACACTAAGAAAGTGGATCAGTCCTGTTCTGAAGTCTTTACACGGTTCCTCACTGACACTAAGAAAAGGGATCAGTCCAGTCTGAAGTCTTTACACTGGTTCCTCACTGACACTAAGAAAGTGGATCAGTCCGTTCTGAAGTCTTTACACTGGTTCTCACTGGACACTAAGAAAGTGGATACAGTCCCCAGTTCTGAAGTCTTTACACTGGTTCCTCACTGACACATAAGAAAGTGGATCAGTCCAGTTCTGAAGTCTTTACACTGGTTCCTCACTGACACTAAGAAAGTGGATCAGTCCAGTTCTGAAGTCTTTACACTGGTTCCTCACTAACACTAAGAAAGTGGATCAGTCCAGTTCTGAAGTCTTTACACTGGTTCCTCACTGACCCTAAGAAAGTGGATCAGTCCAGTTCTGAAGTCTTTACACTGGTTCCTCACTGACACTAAGAAAGTGGATCAGTCCAGTTCTGAAGTCTTTACACTGGTTCCTCACTGACACTAAGAAAGTGGATCAGTCCAGTTCTGAGGTCTTTACACTGGTTCCTCACTAACACTAAGAAAGTGGATCAGTCCAGTTCTGAAGTCTTTACACTGGTTCCTCACTAACACTAAGAAAGTGGATCAGTCCAGTTCTGAAGTCTTTACACTGGTTCCTCACTGACACTAAGAAAGTGGATCAGTCCTGTTCTGAAGTCTTTACACTGGTTCCTCACTAACACTAAGAAAGTGGATCAGTCCTGTTCTGAAGTCTTTACACTGGTTCCTCACTAACACTAAGAAAGTGGATCAGTCCAGTTCTGAAGTCTTTACACTGGTTCCTCACTAACACTAAGAAAGTGGATCAGTCCAGTTCTGAAGTCTTTACACTGGTTCCTCACTAACACTAAGAAAGTGGATCAGTCCTGTTCTGAAGTCTTTACACTGGTTCCTCACTAACACTAAGAAAGTGGATCAGTCCAGTTCTGAGGTCTTTACACTGGTTCCTCACTGACACTAAGAAAGTGGATCACCCTTGTTCTGAAGTCTTTACACTGGTTCCTCACTGACACTAAGAAAGTGGATCAGTCCAGTTCTGAGGTCTTTACACTGGTTCCTCACTAACACTAAGAAAGTGGATCAGTCCAGTTCTGAAGTCTTTACACTGGTTCCTCACTGACACTAAGAAAGTGGATCAGTCCAGTTCTGAGGTCTTTACACTGGTTCCTCACTAACACTAAGAAAGTGGATCAGTCCAGTTCTGAAGTCTTTACACTGGTTCCTCACTAACACTAAGAAAGTGGATCAGTCCAGTTCTGAAGTCTTTACACTGGTTCCTCACTGACACTAAGAAAGTGGATCAGTCCAGTTCTGAAGTCTTTACACTGGTTCCTCACTGACACTAAGAAAGTGGATCAGTCCAGTTCTGAAGTCTTTACACTGGTTCCTCACTGACACTAAGAAAGTGGATCAGTCCAGTTCTGAAGTCTTTACACTGGTTCCTCACTAACACTAAGAAAGTGGATCAGTCCAGTTCTGAAGTCTTTACACTGGTTCCTCACTGACCCTAAGAAAGTGGATCAGTCCAGTTCTGAAGTCTTTACACTGGTTCCTCACTGACACTAAGAAAGTGGATCAGTCCAGTTCTGAAGTCTTTACACTGGTTCCTCACTAACACTAAGAAAGTGGATCAGTCCAGTTCTGAAGTCTTTACACTGGTTCCTCACTGACACTAAGAAAGTGGATCAGTCCAGTTCTGAAGTCTTTACACTGGTTCCTCACTGACACTAAGAAAGTGGATCAGTCCAGTTCTGAAGTCTTTACACTGGTTCCTCACTGACACTAAGAAAGTGGATCAGTCCAGTTCTGAAGTCTTTACACTGGTTCCTCACTGACACTAAGAAAGTGGATCAGTCCAGTTCTGAAGTCTTTACACTGGTTCCTCACTGACACTAAGAAAGTGGATCAGTCCAGTTCTGAAGTCTTTACACTGGTTCCTCACTAACACTAAGAAAGTGGATCAGTCCTGTTCTGAAGTCTTTACACTGGTTCCTCACTGACACTAAGAAAGTGGATCAGTCCAGTTCTGAAGTCTTTACACTGGTTCCTCACTGACACTAAGAAAGTGGATCAGTCCAGTTCTGAAGTCTTTACACTGGTTCCTCACTGACACTAAGAAAGTGGATCAGTCCAGTTCTGAAGTCTTTACACTGGTTCCTCACTGACACTAAGAAAGTGGATCAGTCCTGTTCTGAAGTCTTTACACTGGTTCCTCACTAACACTAAGAAAGTGGATCAGTCCAGTTCTGAAGTCTTTACACTGGTTCCTCACTAACACTAAGAAAGTGGATCAGTCCAGTTCTGAAGTCTTTACACTGGTTCCTCACTGACACTAAGAAAGTGGATCAGTCCTGTTCTGAAGTCTTTACACTGGTTCCTCACTGACACTAAGAAAGTGGATCAGTCCAGTTCTGAAGTCTTTACACTGGTTCCTCACTGACACTAAGAAAGTGGATCAGTCCAGTTCTGAAGTCTTTACACTGGTTCCTCACTAACACTAAGAAAGTGGATCAGTCCTGTTCTGAAGTCTTTACACTGGTTCCTCACTGACACTAAGAAAGTGGATCAGTCCAGTTCTGAAGTCTTTACACTGGTTCCTCACTGACACTAAGAAAGTGGATCAGTCCAGTTCTGAAGTCTTTACACTGGTTCCTCACTGACACTAAGAAAGTGGATCAGTCCTGTTCTGAAGTCTTTACACTGGTTCCTCACTGACACTAAGAAAGTGGATCAGTCCAGTTCTGAAGTCTTTACACTGGTTCCTCACTAACACTAAGAAAGTGGATCAGTCCTGTTCTGAAGTCTTTACACTGGTTCCTCACTGACACTAAGAAAGTGGATCAGTCCAGTTCTGAAGTCCTTACACTGGTTCCTCACTAACACTAAGAAAGTGGATCAGTCCAGTTCTGAAGTCTTTACACTGGTTCCTCACTGACACTAAGAAAGTGGATCAGTCCAGTTCTGAAGTCTTTACACTGGTTCCTCACTGACACTAAGAAAGTGGATCAGTCCAGTTCTGAAGTCCTTACACTGGTTCCTCACTAACACTAAGAAAGTGGATCAGTCCAGTTCTGAAGTCTTTACACTGGTTCCTCACTGACACTAAGAAAGTGGATCAGTCCAGTTCTGAAGTCCTTACACTGGTTCCTCACTGACACTAAGAAAGTGGATCAGTCCAGTTCTGAAGTCCTTACACTGGCTTCCTGTGTGTCAAAGAATAGATTTCAAAATATTGTTGCTGGTTTATAAAGCTTTGAATGGTTTAGGCCCAAAATACATGTCTGACCTCCTGCTAAATGATGAACCATCCAGATCTCTCAGGTCTTCAGGGACTGGTCAGCTTTCTGTCCCCAGAGTCAGAACTAAACATGGAGAAGTTCAGTTATTATGCTCCAAACATCTGGAGCAAACTCCCAGAAACCTGCAGGTCCGCTGCAACGAAGACTACTTTTAAATCCAGGCTGAAGACTTTTCTTTTTGCCGCTGCTTTTAATTGAACTATTCACATCTTAAACTGCACTGTAACTTTTATCCATGTATTTTTTATCCATGTATTTTCTTTTATTATCTTTTCTTTTTAATGAGTGTTTTTAAATGCCTTTGTCTGAATGTCTTTCACATTTTGTAAAGCACTTTGAATTGTGTTGAAAGGTGCTATATAAATAAACTTGCCTTGCCTTGAACTGTAGTATAAGTACACAGTACTGCAGTATAAGTACATGCTGTCTCTGAACTGTAGTATAAGTACACAGTAACTGCAGTATAAGTACATGTACTTATACTACAGTTCAGAGACAACATGTATGTTGTCTCTGAACTGTAGTATTTGTACACAGCACTGCAGTATAAGTACTGCTCTCACCTGGTTCATCCCCCGTTAACATGGCTCTGAACTGTAGTATAAGTACACAGTAACTGCAGTATAAGTACATGCTCTAACCTGGTTCATCCCCGCGTTAACATGGCTCTGAACTGTAGTATAAGTACACAGTAACTGCAGTATAAGTACATGCTCTCACCTGGTTCATCCCCGCGTTAACAAACAGCAGGCTCGGGTCCCCGCGCGGCCGCACCGGGGCGGACGGGACCAGCTGGTGTCCGCGAGACCGGAAGAACTCCAGGAAGGTGCTGCGGACCTGAGAGGAGGAGAGACCCGGAGGACCGGAACCAGAACCCGGACCAAGACCAGGAGGAGAGACCCGGACCTGAGAGGAGGAGAGACCCGGAGGAGGACCAGGACCCCGAGAAGAAGCTCCGCTGCAGGAGCGACAGGATCCGGCAGAGAGGAGGCACGGAGACCCGCTGAGGGGCCTCCGGAGCAGCAGCAGCCGGGACATGAGACCCGGTACCGCAGCCTGTACCGGACTGAGAACCTGTACCGGACTGAGACTTGTCCTAAAGAGACATTCTGACCCTGCAGGCTGTGTGGCGCATGCGCAGGTCCTCCTCGTCTTCTTCACACAGCTTCATGGCAGCTGGCAGCACTACCCCCACCTGCTGGACGCAGGGGGGACCAACACATTACAGTAGAAATTAAAATAACATTTTAAAATGTCTTTATAAACTACGGAGCCCCTAAAGGGACATTACAAAAATAAAAATATTAAAGGTAAAAAAAAGAAATAAAAGGCTGGATGACCGGTTAGTATTTCCTGTCCCTTAGAGGCTCCGTGTGTGTGTGTGTGTGTGTGTGTGTGTGTGTGTGTGTGTGTGTTGTGTGTGTGTGTGTGTGTGTGTGTGTGTGTGTGTGTGTGTGTGTGTGTGTGTGTGTGTGTGTGTGTGTGTGTGTGTGTGTGTGTGTGTGTGTGTGTGTGTGTGTGTGTGTGTGTGTGGTTGTGTTGTGGTTCTCTGAGAGTGGTGGAACCGGTTCTTCTTCCTGAACTCTGCAGACAGACTGCAGGACACTCAATACTGACACTCTGATATAGATCAGGGGATACTCTGAGTACTATCAGATACTCTGTGTACTATCAGATACTCTGAGTACTATCAGATACTCTGAGTACTATCAGATACTCTGAGTACTATCAGATACTCTGAGTACTATCAGATACTCTGAGTACTATCAGATACTCTGTGTACTATCAGATACTCTGAGTACTATCAGATACTCTGAGTACTATCAGATACTCTGTGTACTATCAGATACTCTGAGTACTATCAGATACTCTGAGTACTATCAGATACTCTGAGTACTATCAGATACTCTGTGTACTATCAGATACTCTGAGTACTATCAGATACTCTGTGTACTATCAGATACTCTGAGTACTATCAGATACTCTGTACTATCAGATACTCTGAGTACTATCAGATACTCTGTGTACTATCAGATACTCTGTGTACTATCAGATACTCTGAGTACTATCAGATACTCTGAGTACTATCAGATACTCTGTGTACTATCAGATACTCTGAGTACTATCAGATACTCTGAGTACTATCAGATACTCTGTCTGAGACATGAGACCCGCAAGAAATCTACCCTCGTGGGGACGCGCTCATGTGATTGGCTTAGAACGAAGGAGACTTCGGTGGTGGCGAAGTCCATAGGGACTTGGCTTGGCAACAGGAAGGTCACCAGTTTGAGTCCCGGCAAGACCAAGTGCTACCGAGGTGTCCCTGAGCAAGGCACTGTTCCCTACACTGCTCCCCGGGCGCCGTACACTGGCAGCACTCTGCTCCTAACCCTAGGATGGGTCACATGCAGAGGAACCAAGCACTCTGCTCCTAACCCTAGGATGGGTCACATGCAGAGGAACCAAGCACTCTGCTCCTAACCCTAGGATGGGTCACATGCAGAGGAACCAAGCACTCTGCTCCTAACACGAGGATGGGTCACATGCAGAGGAACCAAGCACTCTGCTCCTAACACGAGGATGGGTCACATGCAGAGGAACCAAGCACTCTGCTCCTAACACGAGGATGGGTCACATGCAGAGGAACCAAGCACTCTGCTCCTAACCCTAGGATGGGTCACATGCAGAGGAACCAAGCACTCTGCTCCTAACCCTAGGATGGGTCACATGCAGAGGAACCAAGCACTCTGCTCCTAACCCTAGGATGGGTCACATGCAGAGGAACCAAGCACTCTGCTCCTAACACTAGGATGGGTCACATGCAGAGGAACCAAGCACTCTGCTCCTAACCCTAGGATGGGTCACATGCAGAGGAACCAAGCACTCTGCTCCTAACCCTAGGATGGGTCACATGCAGAGGAACCAAGCACTCTGCTCCTAACACGAGGATGGGTCACATGCAGAGGAACCAAGCACTCTGCTCCTAACACGAGGATGGGTCACATGCAGAGGAACCAAGCACTCTGCTCCTAACACGAGGATGGGTCACATGCAGAGGAACCAAGCACTCTGCTCCTAACACGAGGATGGGTCACATGCAGAGGAACCATTTCGTTACATAGTACCTGTACTGTGAAATGACAATGAGAGAGTTAAAAAATAAAAAAATCTGATTGGCTATAGATAGAAACAAGTACAAGTACGAATCGGGTGACCATCAGAGGAGTCTCAAAAAACCCACACACGAATGCACAGCATGCACAGAGAGCGGGTTGTGTTGCAGGTGCAGAGGTTTTAAACGGAAAACAAATATGTGAGGATCAAAAATAAGTAAAACTTTTTTCTGTATTTGTATTTTATTTCCATGAATATGAAACGGAACACATTTGTTTGCATTGAAAAACACAAGTGTGGATCCTTCTGTGTGCATGTGTGTTTTATGAGACTGTTCTGAGCCCATAGTGTGTGGCCTAGCATTACTATACCTGTGGGGACCTAAATCTGTTCACACAGTCACGTGTGGGGACTCGCCTCCCTTATGGGGACAAAATGGAGGTCCCCATAAGGGGAATCATTCATTTTAGGGTGAAGACTTGGTTAGGGCTTTGGGGAACACGCAGCGCAGGAGCACAGCGTGGTGCACGGGCTCTCGGGTCAATATTTAGTGTTTAAAAACCTATTTAAAAACTCCTGTAGTAAAACCAATAAAAGGCCCTGTTTGGTCTGGGTTAGAAATGTTTGGTCTGGGTTAGAAATGTTTGGTCTGGGTTAGAAATGTTTGGTCTGGGTTAGAAATGTTTGGTCTGGGTTAGAAATGTTTGGTCTGCGTTAGAAATGTTTGGTCTGGGTTAGAAATGTTTGGTCTGCGTTAGAAATGTTTGGTCTGGGTTAGAAATGTTTGGTCTGGGTTAGAAATGTTTGGTCTGCGTTAGAAATGTTTGGTCTGCGTTAGAAATGTTTGGTCTGGGTTAGAAATGTTTGGTCTGCGTTAGAAATGTTTGGTCTGGGTTAGAAATGTTTGGTCTGGGTTAGAAATGTTTGGTCTGGGTTAGAAATGTTTGGTCTGGGTTAGAAATGTTTTAAAAAATGCAATAAAAGGGATAAAAGAGAGCAGCGGCTGAAGCACAGAGCGTATGCTGCGGGGTTAAAACCTGTACTCCTGCCCCCCGAGGGGGTCTCCCCCGGTGGGGTGTCCGAGGCTGCGTCTGGTCAAAGACCTGGTAAGTGGGTTAAAACCTGTACTCCTGCCCCCCCGAGGGGGTCTCCCCCGGTGGGGTGTCCGAGGCTGCGTCTGGTCAAAGACCTGGTAAGTGGGTTAAAACACATCTGGCTAAAAGGTCTTGACTTTGTTTAAAATCGGCATGCAGCTAAAATTAGTGTTAAGATGTTTTAAAATAAATACATAGAAGTGCTTTTAAAAATAAGTGCTGGTAATAAAAATCACATTAACCCAAATGTTAAAATATGTATAATATAAAACAAATATGTAAAATATAAAATATAAACTACCCACGGGTTAGTAGGCACACAGGGAGGGGACATCTCTGAAAGTAAAGTCAACCAAGTGTCCTTAAAAGAGTTTAAACCCCAGGCCGAGGTCTAGAGGGGGGGTGCAGGCGAGACACGGGACACGCCTCGGATGATGTTTAGAAATACTTTAATAGGCGCGTTCACACCAAGTACTTTCCTGTACTTAGTTCCGGCACTCAGAGCCCCGGCGCTTTTTACCCCAGGGCACTTCGTACAGATCGCGTTCACACCGGAGTACTTTTCCCTGAGGGGAGATTACGCAAATGAGCCGCTGACGTCACTTCTTCTTCTTCTGCTTTGGCTTTACTGGCAGGCCACAAACCACTTCACGGCGAGTACAGTAGGTGGCGGTATGCACCTTAAAGTTGTTTGCAATCCGCTACAAAAACAAGAGAATAAGAAGAAGACAAAGTTCCCTTGTATACTGCGACGCCCACCCACTCGCTGTACATTAGGCGTCTGTTGTTTCCGACCTCAGACATGATGGAGATGGAGTCGACTGAAGTTGTGCTGTTTGTGCTCATGTTATACAGCTTTGTAACTGAGTTCATGCAGCCTGAGCAACTTGCGTACAATAACAAAACAAGCCGAGCACGAGTGGTGGTGGAGAACGCTTTTGGCAGACTGAAGGGCAGGTGGCGGTGCTTGATGAAAAGAAACGACTGCAGGATGGACAAGATCAAAACCCAGGTGGCAGCATGTTGCATATTACATAACCTTTGTGAAAGTAATGAGTACAGGGACGAATGGACTGCCTTACCGGAGACCCAGCTTGATGGGCCAGCCATTGCAGAGGCTGGGGGGCAAGACACGCCACAGCCCTTATGAGGCATCTGAACAGCCCTCATGAGGCATCTGAACAGCCCTTATGAGGCATCTGAACAGCTCTTATGAGGCATCTGAACAGCTCTTATGAGGCATCTGAACAGCCCTTATGAGGCATCTGAACAGCTCTTATGAGGCATCTGAACAGCTCTTATGAGGCATCTGAACAGCCCTCATGAGGCATCTGAACAGCCCTCATGAGGCATCTGAACAGCCCTCATGAGGCATCTGAACAGCCCTTATGAGGCATCTGAACAGCCCTTATGAGGCATCTGAACAGCCCTCATGAGGCATCTGAACAGCCCTTATGAGGCATCTGAACAGCCCTCATGAGGCATCTGAACAGCTCTCATGAGGCATCTGAACAGCCCTCATGAGGCATCTGAACAGCCCTCATGAGGCATCTGAACAGCCCTTATGAGGCATCTGAACAGCCCTCATGAGGCATCTGAACAGCTCTTATGAGGCATCTGAACAGCCCTCATGAGGCATCTGAACAGCCCTCATGAGGCATCTGAACAGCCCTTATGAGGCATCTGAACAGCCCTCATGAGGCATCTGAACAGCTCTCATGAGGCATCTGAACAGCCCTCATGAGGCATCTGAACAGCCCTTATGAGGCATCTGAACAGCCCTCATGAGGCATCTGAACAGACCTTATGAGGCATCTGAACAGCTCTCATGAGGCATCTGAACAGCCCTCATGAGGCATCTGAACAGCCCTTATGAGGCATCTGAACAGCCCTCATGAGGCATCTGAACAGCTCTTATGAGGCATCTGAACACTCTTATGAGGCATATGAACACTCTTATGAGGCATCTGAACAGCCCTTATGAGGGCATCTGAACAGCC